TCCTGGTTAGGCTGACCTCCAGCTGCTCATTTCTTAGAGCTGTGTGGAGCTCACACAGAACACATAGACACTTAGCAAAATTTGGCCTTTTCTTTTGTTTCCTCAATGTGGTTTCCAGAGCCTAAAATTAAAAGACCTAGATGTAGGAAATCAATGACTGTCTTTTACAGCACACAGAGACAGGCAGGATAGTAGCTCACAGTGGTACATTGGGGCTAAATGTGTTGAGGTGTCAAGTTGCTTTATTAGAGCCATGTAAGTCTTGTAAGTAGAAAGGCTGAATGCTCCTCCTAGTTTTTTTTTTTTTTTTTTTCTCTCTCTCTTTTCCTTCCTATTGGAGTTACTGTAATTATTGCCTTTTTTTCTGCAGCCTTTGAGATATTTAGGGTTTGCTACAAAATTGAGTTCATGGAGGCAATTGACTACACCTAGCTGCAGAAAAGCTATTAGGAGCTTCAAATTAGTGTGAAGTAGTTAACAGGCAAGAAAGATTAACCTGGGGAACAAGGTCAGTTTTCATCCGTAGTAAGCACAAGGATATTCCTTTGGATACTTTTGCCATACGTGTCCTCTTGGACCTGTAACTATTCCATTCAGATGTTAATTGCATCCAGATTGGTAGAGACAAGACCCTGTAAGCCTGCTCAAGCACCACATTTGACTTAAAAAGGGACCAAAAGACCTTTCCACTTCCCACCTTGCCCAGGTTTCTGTTTCTCCTGCAGCAACTGCTGTGCACAGTAGTTGGAGCGAACGGCTGATTTACCCAGCACTGGCCAGCCTGAAGGACCACTGTGTGCATCAGTGGCTGCACACACGGTCCAGACTCAGTAACCTTGTCTTTTATTTTTTTGTTTTATTATTTATTTTGAACCTACTGCACAAATGTAGAGTTATCGCCTGATGGGACACTATTTTCAAAGTGGTTGTTTCAACTGTTTTCCTTGTGCAGGAAAGTGATTTCTGGCACAATAAATAAAACAAGAAGGAAAAAAAAAAAGGCCAATATGTGCATTTCTGTGGTGGCAGCAAAGCGGATTATGAGGCAGTGGTCCCATCTCAAGCTGGGCAGTTCCTTCAGACCACATTTCCTGCTGGAGTTTCCCATTGCACCACGCTGGAGTGGATGTGAACACATTTTGATGGCGTATATCTCCCTCTTGGGAGCTCGCCCTTTGGGTATGCATAATGCACCTATATGTGTGAATGTGGCTTTTCAGGCAAATGACAAAAGAAGAGCAAACAGTAGCAGAATATCCAAAGTGACAACGTTACCTGCCACTGCTTTAGCGCTTGCAATGAATATATCGGCTCATCGCCATTCTCTAGGTGGGGAGTGGGTACAACTGATAGCTGAGGAAGTTGGGTTGTCTTATGCCTTGCCAAGGGGATTCTGCTGGGAAGGGAATGGGGAAAATAATTGGAAACTATAAAAGTATTTTGGGCGACGTCCAATTAAGGAAGCGGAGGAGAATTGATTTGCACGTGTGATTTGGTAATGTTGCCGCTGCAAACTCTTTGCTGCCTTCAGGATCCACAGTGTGATTAAAATTCACCTGTCCCCAGCTGTGGCACTGAACTCCGGTAGTGGTGGGGCGTGCAAAATATTTACTGCATGTTGGCAGCCTCGTGTTCCTTCTTGGGGAAACATAATATTTTCGCATGCCCTTTATGAAGTCGAAGACATTTCTTTTTTTTTATTAGACACAACTGGGTTTCACGTTCGCTTTTTCACTTCCGCAATCTTGGTATGTCTGAGGCGCAGACTCTTCACTTAGCTTGGCGGTACAGATGCTTTTTGCTTTGCTTTCCACTGCTGTTTTTAAATTGTCTTGCTTGTCTACCTGAACTGCTGAATCCACCATGAATAGTTAAAACCTCTCTGCTTGAGGTAGGGAAGCTCTAAATGGGAGCAGTGGTTTAAAACAACATGGTAGCTTCTATTTTCTTTTTTTTTTTCTTTCTTTCTTTCTTTTTTTTTTTTAATTGAAAGCAAAGGAAAACTAGAACTGTCAGCATGCTGTAACATAAGATAAAAGTCCATGGGCAGAGTGGGAAATTGTAAACCAGATCCCATGCAGTTTTATCAGATGAGCATTTCTCTGAGCATCGCATTTTCTAGGTAATTGTTTGGAAATGCTAGCCAAGGTTGCATCCACCTGTGGTTTTTTTCATTGAATTTGCACTTGTTTGAGGCATGGGGGTGACATGGCTTCCTCTGGTAGAGATTTATGGATTGAGACTGCAAGCCTTCAAGGGGGAGTTCATCATTTCACAGGCCTCTTGTGTCTGGCTACAGTAAATATCACCATGCTGCGGCTTAAAAAGTTAACTGCTTCAGTGTCTTTAGAGTATGACCCTCACACATTGCCCTGTCCTGTTTTTACCCTTTTCTGCTAGGGAACAGCGGGAAAGGGTGGCAAACTGAGCTCCCTGTGGCCACCAAGAAGAGGTCGAATAAATCCAGTTTTCCCATATTAGCATCTGAATTGCTGGGCAGTTTTTACTTTATAGTCCAGCTCTGGAGACCAAACATGGCACAGCATTTCTTTTCCCCGGCACTGCATGGACACCGCCATGCAAATGTGTGCTGTCCCCAGCATGAAATCAGCCTTCCTCCTGGCTTTTGCAATATTTGGGACCCTTTTCCTCTGCTTTCAGGGCTATTTGGCGTTTTAGGTGACCTAGAGGTTCCTGCTGGATGCTGTAGCTCTGCAGGAGTGTCGCCACATGGAAGCTTGTCGAGCTCTGTAGTTCATGTTATGTGGGAATTTTACTGAAATACTGTCTCTCGCTGGGTGCTTAAAATTGAGGGTTCGCCAGAGCTTCTAACCCTGAGCGGTTTGATTGCATCACGGTTCATCTGAGGCTTGATTCAGCGAGGTACATAAGTGTGTCTGGACATAAGATCACCAGGCTTGGACAAAGGTCCATCAAGACCGATTCAGTGTTTCCAGCACTGATGGATGTTTAAGGAAAAAAAGAAAGGAAAGAAAAAATAACAAGGAAAAAACCACTGATTTAATGAAAGTTGGATCTTGTTAATCTCAAGTAAATTTCCTGGGGGATCTTTAAGCACAGGCTGATTTCTTGTTCTGTAGTCCCATATACGGAGCGAAAGAAAGGAGCGTCTGGGACAGCTGATTTAGGAGGAACTGTGGGAGGAGAAGACAGGGAAGATCTCTAACAACGAGAGCCTGTACGCTTTGATTAAACACCATTTAATGCTCTGGCTTTGTATGAATCGGACAGACTGATCCAGGACTGTATTTACGCCTGGGGTGGAGCTGGGCTGTCTCAGGCAAATGTTCCTGCGAGTGAGATCGGCTCCGCTGAGTGATATTCCCCTGAGAGAAGCAATGGCACATCCACCGGTGACACCGTTTGGACGTGGGGCTTGTCCTAAAGCTCTGGAGGACACGTCCTCACCACAAATCTGAGCAGTGCCTCACCGAAAGGTTTTCTTTTTGCTCAATATTCATATTTTTCTCCTTGTTCTGTCACTGACTTTCTGCATTTCCAAATGCAGGTTAGGAGTGTGGTATTTAACAGCTTAGGGCAATCTGATTAGGGGAGGCAGAATATGTTGCAGTTACAGTCCGCTGACCTGAAAATATAAATCACAGCTTCTGTTGGAAATTCTGTAATAGTTCGGCTCAAAGGAGTAGATTGCTAATAATAGTGGCTGTTTAAATGTGCTGCAGTGTGTCAAGTGGACAAGTCCTGTGGTTTGGAGTTAGCAAAAGTTTTAGTTAGACCGGCTTCTGAGAAACCTGCAAGAGCAGACGCACAGGGGGAGGCAAAAAAGGGTTAAAATCATGGGAAAATGCACTACAAAGTGGTTGCCACAAAGCTGTGAAGCTGATGCCAAGCACATGGGTGGCAGTTACAGGCCTCTGATGACTATTAGCAGTCAAAAACCCAACCTTCGTTTAAAGCTTATTTAAGCAAAGCATCCTGCACAAGTAAAGTAGCCCCGTTGAACCTCTTGTCGCTCCTTCTCTGGGAATGATGAAGCCGTGGAGGAGCTTTGGGTGGTTTTAATGTTGGAAAATGATGATAATAACAAAAAAAGAAAGCTCTCTAGCTCCCCTTCTCATAGGGCAGATTTGGGTGCCCTGGGCAGAGCTGGCTTGTGGCTGACCACAGGGAGCCCCTATAGTCTCTGTCATCTTCACTGTGCTGATGGCCCTGATGTGGGTATTTGCCTGTCCCAGGCAAGTCGCGTTATCAGACACTGTGTAAGGCTACATCAGGCTACCTACTTCGGCTAAACTTCTGGCATAGAGCCTGCATCAATGAATTAGTGGTTAATAAGCATTTTAATGAAAGAAAGCATTGAAGAGTGTTGTTTCAGAACTACATGCAAGTTTCTGGACGCTAAGTGGTATCCGTGGTGCTCGGTGATTAATGTGTGTCCGTCTCCTTTGATGGCCTCTTGGGCTGAGGGACGTGTGACTCGAATGTCTGTGCTTAAATCTCAGCTACTTGACTGATGCTTCTCCTATATCCTCAGGCAACTCCTTTCCTTCTTCTGAAAGAAGCTGAGTAAGGGGGCATTTTTAGTCATGTGCAGTCAGAACTCAGATCTTTGTGGCAAAACCTTTCTGTCGATCAACTAATGTTTATGTACTACCCTGAATGTGAAGAGTCTGACTTTTAGCCTAGCCTCAACCTGTCTTTTTTACATCCTTTCTTCACCTGAGTAGGAAACGTTTCAGAAGAGTGAGCTGTCAGGTTGCTATGGTGCACAGCACCACTGGGAGAGGTTAGGGTTCCCCGTCAGTTCCCTTCTTTGCTGCAGCAATGCTGCAGACAAGAAGCTATGTGGGACCTTCCAAAGCCATGTGAGACCTTCCAAAGCCATGCAGTACAACTGGAGGCCTTGTTCTTTTTAAAGACTGGCAAGGAAATTCTTTGGATTTGCTGGTCTTAGTGCAGGGACCAGCATGCCGTAAGTTTCCATTTCTCCTTGCTTCCCAGGCCCTGCGGGGATCTCGATGGGGAGAGCAAGTATTATTGTTCCTACAAGAATTTTGCTTTCCAGGGAAAAGTCCATATTCTTTGTCTGCCACAGGAGCTTCACACCCATATTACTCACTGGTTTTTCCTAGCGTTTGCTAGGACTGTGATGAGATGGTGTTGTGCAAGGAGGTGCAAGTTATCTTTGCCCACTTTCTGAGCTGATTGTGACAGCCCATAGCCGTTATTGCAGCAGCCTATGTATGTATAATATCTAGTCTTTTTATGACAGCTCGTGTCATACATGTTCTCTGCTGAGCATCCCCCTTCAGAGGCTGTGAGGTGAGCTCCTTTCAAAGTGATAAGTGGTCTTAATTATTGATATATCTTCTCTCTTTTTGTCTTTGCAGCCACCCAGATTGATCCTAGCGAACTACAGGAACTTTTTCAGGAGACTTCAGCCAACGTCTTCCGAATTAACTCCAATGGTGCGTATAATGAAGGATTTCGTAGGTAATTGTGTGCTGTCCTGCTGATGACGAGTGTTCGTGTACATGGTGTATGGCAGGGCCTGTTGTCAAGGAGCAAATATTAATGCAGGGGTTTTTTGTCTTTGTTTTTTTTTTTTTTTTTTGCTGCAGCACATGTACAATACACAGTTCTTTATAAGATGTAAAAATATTCCACCATATGTTGCATTAAACAGGCACAGATATATCCCAATCCTTACGGAGACCACATCGTTTTCTATTTTTAATTGTGTCATCTGTTACAATAGGGAGTTAGAACTCAGAAAGGTGGAACAAGCCAGACTCATTCTCTAATGTGCTGCAGTGCTACCACATTCAGAGCCTGTCATATGAGCTCGCAAACTATCATCTCCCTTATAGAAACACCAACACCAAAACTCTTGTATTATTCTTCACTCCATAGATTGAATAGGGAGGCTGTTCCTGCTCATGTCTCCTTGGACACTGGAGCTGCAGAGCGCTTCCTTCCTTTGGAGATGTGCTCTGAAACAGCAGTGCTTTGTTGGATTGAGCAGGAGGGCTGTACTTTGCAGTTAGAGATAGACTGACTTGCTGAATGGTAGTTAATGCAATGGTGTCCTAGTTCTAAGATACGTTATTACCAAACAAGAATTTAAATTATGAGTGCTGATGTTATAGTGGACCTTGAAATTGCTTCTGAACGGCCTGATCAGCTTCTTTCTATGGTCTATTCTGTGTCTATGGGCCTTGGGAAGGAATTGGGCAAGAGAGAGGGCTGGGGTAGATGTAAAGGAAGGGTCTTAGTACCTCCTTGCTTTTGTAATCACTCCCCTCGCCCCCCGCCCCCGGTGCAAAATCACTTCTCAGGGAAAGGGCCTTAGTCCCACAGCAAGATACCTTCAGTAGGAAGCTAAGGAGACAAAGGAGTTAAAGCTGTCTGCCTCCATTGCTCTCCAACACTTTGTGTGAATATCAGGAAAGTTTTAGGATCGACTGCTTCTGGGATGATGATAGCCTGTACCAGATTCGCTTGGTCCAGTGGTGGCCAGGTATACTGACTCAGGTTCACCAGCATATCAGCCTGGTACATGGCTTTGGTCACTGTCTGCACTCTGTATTAGATGTCTGATTGCACGTGAAAGCTTGGCTTGGAGAGCTTTAAGCTGTCCTCTTGCCAGTTGCTGTCTGATGATGAGAGTGACTGCCAGGGAGTGAAGTCCCTGTGTGTTCATCCAGTGCTAGCAGTTGTTAAAAAATAATCTGGGCAAGAGGGACAATGCAATTGCTAGAAGGATGGGAGCAAGACTTCTAAAATGTAGTCCTCCCTTGTCTACAGGGATTTTTGCATGCGATAGAGCAGTCCAGTCTCCATCTGCCAGGCAAATACAAGCACCAGTTTTTCTATGACCATATCAGATTGGTAAGTTCAAGTTTACTTCTGACAATCATAGCTTGAGTCAGAGCTTCAGGTCCTTGTGCAGCACAGATATACCTCACCCAAGCACGTGAACCTCGTTACAACTCTCCGCTATCCCACAAGGTGAAGATGAGGGCCTGAAACAAGGCCCTGGGTAGGCGTCATGAAGATATACAAGTGCCCAGCTTGCTGTAATATCAGGAGGAAAATGCTTCTTTGCATCTTCTTTTGAGCCTAAGGATGGAATAACGCTGTGCAACAGGCAAGGGTAGGATCTGTCTGGTTAGAAAGCAATTTTACAGGAAAAGACCTGGGGGTACTGGTCAGCAACAAGGTGAACATGAATTAACAGAAATCTTTTCTGCACCTAATGGGAGAGTGTAAGGAAAGTGGAGCCAGACTTTTCTCTGACCTGAATGATGGAAGAACAAGAGGTGATTGTCATAGGTTGGTATGTGGGAAATTCCAAATTAATTTGAGGAAAAGATTGACCATGAGGGTGGTCACACTTTGCAACAGGGACCTGGAGAGGCTGTGGGATCTTCATCCTTTAAGATGTTCAGAACTGGTGAAGGCCTTGAGCAACCTGCTTTCATTGGATCTACTTTGACAAAAAGGTTGGACTGAAGACCTCCAGAAGTTACCCGAACCTGTGTGAGTCTGTGATTCTTCATTAGTTTCTCAGAATCTCAGTTACTGCACATACAAGATGATTCTGAACTGGTCAAAAGCAAAACAGGAAATAGACGTTTCACGTTTATTTATTTTTTGTTATTTTTAATTGATGCATTACACAAATGGTTGTTCGAAGCACTCATTTATAGTCTTCTGGCAGCCTCTTTCACAAAAAAGAAGCTGAGAAATTCAGTCACAGAAAGTCATCCTTGGGTTACCAGTGATATTTGCCCTTTGGGATACTGGATAGTAGTGATGGGATGGACGGTCCTTGAGGTGACGTACGACTACGTGTTGCAGAAGGTGGAAAAGGGCCTTGAGAAAACTCCAAAGCTGTGACCTGGGCTGGTGGCCACTGTGGATGGTTGAACCTCTCAGGTGTGAGCGCAAGTACTCAGCTTTGCCTGCAGATGGGGGCACGATTTATAATATGCAGAAGTACCAGAATTAGCATCGATCCTGCTTGCTCCAGCCTTAATAGTGGCAACGTAACAAGGATACTGTAGGCTTCTGCTGTTGAATAGGAACCCAGTGTAGAGTGAAGTTTTACAACCTGCTTGCGAGTCTGTGTATGTTAATACTCAAGCTAGCTAGATTAAGATTGACTTGGTGAACCTCTGCTGTAATCACAACTCCTTGCTGTGGAGGAGTTTATCCTGAGAAACCCTTAAAATGATCAGGGCACTGTTTTTGAAATGCCATGATCCAATTTCTGTTTTTATTCTTCTTTGTAATTGCAATAATCCAAATTCAGTTAGCTTTAGACCAATTTCTGGCTGTCTTTGTTTTTCTTCTTGAGCAGGTAGTGTGTGTTTTCTGTTAGAGCTGCCTATACTGCATTCTCTCTGAAGCAGGTAATGATGGTGCCTACACTTAGACTATTTTGTAAAATTGGAGAGAGTACAGAGAAGAGCTATCACAACTGTTTGAAGTCTGCAAATCAGGCTTTAAAATGCATGCCGTATAGACTTCTGTTTGAGATATCTGAGAGGACTTGATCATGGTCTGTAAGTACCTCTGTGGAAAGAAAAACATCAAGTAGATGATAGCATAGAGCTCATTAATCTCACATTCTCACCCATAACAAGATCAGGAGATGGGAGTCAAAGCTAGACAAATTCAATCTTTCTGTATGAGGATAACTAACCATTAGAAGTGCTTGCTGATGGGACATGATGGATTTGGCATTGCTTGGAACATTCAAATCAAGATTCAGATGTCTTCTTATGAGATGTACTTTAGTCCTTCTGCAGTCTATGGTCTTGATGTAGGAGTGATGGGATGAAATTTTATGCTGGGAAATCAGATTGGATAATCAAAATTGCTATCTCTGGTCCTTAAAATCTATGAATCTCTGAATTTATAATGCTTTTTAAAGTGCTTTTAGGTTGAAGAAATGCCCATAAGATACTGTACTGTTGTTTCTCTGTTCACTGCCCATATTATTTTCTGTCTGCTAAAGTGAATTTGATTCACTGAGCTTGCGGGTGGCTTCTTTGCAGCTTCCTTCCCCAAAAGTGCGTACAGCTTCACCCGGGAAGAAGGTGGTGAAAGTAGCGCTTAGGTTCTGCAAAGCTAGTACATATTAAGTAAAGAAGCTTATAGGGTTATAAAATGGGAAAAGGTGCCCATGATCCCATCTGCCTTGTACAGCTGTGATATGATCTCTGCGGTAAACCCTGCAAGCTCCATCCTGGAGCATGTAGCAAAAGTCAATGCTATCACTGGTGGACCACCAGCTGAGCGGCAGAGTGAGGAGTAGAGCTTCTGCACTGCAGACGCTCATCGGGTGACACTGTACTCCTCTTGTGCTGGGCATGGTGTGTTTCATGTCCTTCAACGGTGCAGTGAATTGAATCACAGCTCCCCTTTCCCTCCTCTTCCTGCCTCATGCCAGCCTCTTTGGGGATTTCCAGGCTCCTCGTTGCTTTTGGAGACTGAACTGTGCAGCTGAAATTCTCTACTTGCCTTCGAGGTCCTGAGGGCGTCATGAGCTCACCCCTACCAGACCCTTGTTGTTTGAACTCCCAAATTGCCAAGTTGTGGGCAGTCTCACTATATTTTTTCTATCCTTGGGGAAAAGGGATCTCTAACGAAACAAGAAATCAACTGTGTACTGGGTTTTTAAAGCACAGTTGATTTTTGTTGATTAGTACTGCAGAAGTAGTAAGTGTTGCACACTTTGCCCCTCTCTGTTTTCCTTGCTCTTTTGGTAGAAGTCTGCCGAAATTCTCCTTTAGCAGTTCGGGACTTGCCTTCGGGACAAGGGGAATCTTTGCAGTTTGGAGCTGGCCTTGGCTGCTCTTGAATACAAGTGCCTCCTGCTCCCTTTTTCTGCTATGGAAACGAGGATCTTCACCATGCATTGAATAAAAGCCTGAGCCACGACCACTGGTTCAATGTATGCGCTAGTGGATCACTCTCTGGCCAGGTTGTAACCTCAGGGACTTTTTCTAACCTTATAGAAGGTTAAATTTTAAACTTACAGAAGTACGAAGAGGTGTAGAAGGGTGTCTTTTCTGTTCTTTGCATCTGCTGTCTTTATGTCTAATTCTTTGTGAACGGTCTCTGTTGAGCACAGGGAAGTTTGCCTGATAGGGCTTTGGCTTTTGGGAGTTTTGGGAGTTTCTATTTAGTTTTTTGTCTATTTGTTTTGTTACAGGGAAAAAAAAGCACAAAAGCAAACTCAAGTACCAGCTGAATTTTTCTGATTGATGTTTTTTTTTTTTTAAATCTAATTTTCTGAAGATTTTGCATTCTCTTTCAGAGTATGCCTTTTAGCTGCCTCTCAGTAAATGCCTTATAAATAAGTAAAATAAATAACATTCCTAAAAAGAGTTGTTTTAGTGCATGGTGCAGGGGTGATCACTGGAGGACACACTGGAGTGATCAGACCTGTTCTGGCCAGATGGAGAACCTGAGGTCTCTGATAGGTCTCTTTTCTGTAATTCTTTCTATTTGCTCGTTAATGACTCCACATGACAAGTTGGTGCCATGTATGGTCCAGGGGCTGAGCCAAGGATTGTTCATCATCCCGTAGGTGTGATAAATTTGCCGTTGCCATCTCAGGATTGTCTCTCATCTGCCATTGATTTTAAGGTTTGCAACAGCATAGAAGATGATTGGAGCCAAACTCTCAGTTTGTGTAAATCAGTGTCATTCCAACAGCGTACCTCCGCTGCACATACCTCATCCTGGAGATCTACCCTACTGCCTTTTAAATACTATATGTACAAGGCTTTTTTAGTGATACCTCTGTGTTTTAACACTGGCCTCTCAGTATCTCTCCAGCACAGCTGGATGTGTTGCATGACAGTTACTGCTTGAACCATCAGAAGTGGTATATGATCTTTTGAGAAGAATTTTCCACACCCATCACAGAAACCAGGATGATTTTGACGGAACTCTTCTTGACCAGTCCCAAAATATAGGAGAGCTCTTTGGACCACCATGAGGTCCAAAAGACTTGGGTTTAAGTCTCAGTTCTGCCGTTTCCCATGTGAGAGCCATGTCAAATGCCAACCTTTTGGCTGTTCCAGAGTGCATCTCTCTAAACTTGTCCTTTAGGAAACACTGACCTTTATATAAGAGTGTCAATATTATGTTTGAATTGGAATATTAGATACAATTTTAGGATAGGACTTAATCCTGAGCTATTTTCTCCCCTGGCAGACAAACTCTTTGCTCTACTCTTGCATTCCTGTCGGAAGATCCTTTGTGTGTATGTGTTTTCCAAAATATTAAATGAATGAGAAAGATCTTGGATTTGTCCTAGTGTGAAATGGTACATGTTTGAAGGATTACAGTAGGAAAGCTGCTTCTTACTCCGTTCTGCTCTGAAGTATGCGGTAGCAAACGTCTGTCCTGTTATTGCAAAGAAATACCCGCATATCTGATCTCTGTCTTCCATCAAGCTCTCGTGTTCACGTGTAGGGAGACCTTGGCAAAATAGCCTTAACTTTGAATTGTCTTGTTTTTGCAGCTCAGGTTAGGAGGGTATCTGAATGCTATCGCTGCTTCCTTGAGTTGAACATACGAGTGCTGCATCCTCAGAAATTCAGTATCCACACAAGTGCTTTCGCTACCTTGACTCACTCTCCTTTCTCTGAGCAAGCGCTAGGCTCTGCAGCACGCTCAAGGGCTAATCAATCCAGAAATATTTTTAGAAGATACTGAATTTTGCCTTTGAAATAGGCAGAATATAGGTTGCATTAGGGATTGATATATTAGGATTGTGGTGCAGGAAGAGAGGGAATTATAATATCTGTGAATTTCTGGAAGATCAGTGCTGTGCTCCTAGAGAAGCAAAAGGATGTTAGTGAAAACTCTCAATTAATTCTTTAGAACAGTGTGCATCCAGCAAAGGATAATAATTATTAGCTCAATTGTAGACAGATCCTTGAAGCTTTATCTTCGTGATTTGCCAAATGCTGTACTGAAATCTCCTGTTGCGATCTTGCACAAGGCAGAAAATATATAGCAGTATTCAAGCTTGTTTTGAATATTCCTGTTGTCCAGGAGCGTAATTACATTTTATGCTGTTGGTAGCTTTTGGTGTCAACCCAGAAAATCCCAAAAGTGAAGAGCAGATTCAATTTTGTCTGTCAGTGAAAAAATAGTTAAGTGACTTGTTCAAAGTTACAAACGGAACTGAAGGCTGCAGAGTCATTAAAATAAAGGATTTCTTAAATTTCCAGTGAAATAATTAAGCCGTGTCACTAATCTGTTCTTTTTCCTTCCTTAAATATTGAAGCATGACTGGTAATGGGCTATGAGTTTTTATAACTGAAAGTGTCCTGAGAAAATCCCAAAAGTAAATAATGAGAATGTCATATATTTAGCATCTTTCATTGTGAAAGATCTTCAAGTGCTTTGCATACTTGATATGCTAAGTGCAAAAGTAGTAGCCTCCTATTAATTTGAAAGTGAAGTTGAGACAGTAAACATTTAAGGGTGTAAAAAGGCAACAGCACTCCTAGATTTCTGCCACTGTTGCATTTATAACATATTTACATATATATACACACATATATACACATATACATATATACAATATGTATATATAAAATGGTAGATTTTAGTGGTATAGCTTAAGTAAAAGTCAGCATAAGGGCCAAATTACACTTTTGATTTACAAGATCCCCATTGTTAGTTTTTTTAACTAACATTTGTTGCATTGATTTTTTCTTAAATCTTAAGTCATTGTGTATTGCCAAACAAAACATGTTTCCAGCTTCTAGCTACTCTAATGGATCACTTAGAGCAGAGTATTCCCCTCTCCTAATGCAAAAGCGCATGCAGCTCTCTGGCTCAAACACACTAGATAATCACAGTAGAGCACCCCATTGGCCTATCTGTCTGAGCCAAAACCTAGAAAAGTGTCGAACCTTGAACAAAGAGAGTGCAAAAATACAAGAATGGAAGATAGAGTTCAGCCTATTAATTGTTATTCTGAACAATTAATTGTGTTTTTATGCAGTTTTTTACTTCTTCAGGGAGGGCATGCTCCCAGCCACAAGTGCTTCATGCGCAGGTCTGTGGGTCCTGAGGGATGGGTTTCCTGCAGTTTTCCGCTCCTGCTAGAGCTACGTAGATCTCCCGTCCCAAAGCACAACTGCCTCCAGCCCTGGAAATTTTATGCAGTTGCACATTAAGAGCTAGAAAGTTTGGGGCTGGCAGAGTCAGAAGTCCTAGCGCTGGTAGCGTTAACCTCTCTGGACCATTGCAGGGATGTTTGAAGGCATCGCTGCAAGAGGACAAAGGAATGGATGTGTCATGGTGTGAAGGAGAGCAGTGTGAGGCTTTGTGGCTCTTCGCAAGAAGCTCCTTGGCTCTGCACAAGAGAGGGGCAGGAAGATGCTCATTAGGAAATATAGCCAATAAGCAAGAGAACTGTGTCCTTTGGGGAGTGAACCTGCACGTAACACGTGAAATCACTGTTCCTGCGTCCGAGGGGCCCAGTTTATCCGTTTTGATGTCATGGCCATTGCCGGATGGCGTCCCGTTTTGTCTCATGGGTTGCCTGTCCAAACACTGCTTGACTGTGTAGCTTTGAAAGAAAGTGAATTTAAAAAAAAAAAAAAAAAAAGAACAAAAATTCAATATTTTTCTCTGAGCAGGTGTACTACTTCTTTATCTTTTCTTTCTGTCTTGTTGACAGTGACCTCCTTGGAAAGAAGCCTTAGATCTCTGGGGACCTCAAATGATACTCAAGAGCTACAGGATGGACTGTGAGTCTGTTTTGAATTGCTACAGGTCTCTCTTTGTCCCAGCCTTTTCATTTTCTCCTCATCTATCCTCGCTTTTTCTTCTGTCTTTCTTACAGCTGGCCACCTTTTTATCAGGTTTACTTCATTTTCTTCCTTTTTGTCCATGATTAATGATGGTAGGACACGTATTGATCATATAAAGTTTTGCCTGTGCTGGTTTCAGATGGCAGAGAATGGTAGATAGATAACAGAAAATGATTGCCCACGCTGAAAGAGGGTTTTTTTGTGGTTGTATATATATATTTTTTTAATGTGAGGCCAGCCTTGGACACTTGTGTAGCTTTTTCCTTTCTTTTTCTCCCCTCTTTGCCAAAGATAGTAAATCTAAGAGGAGAAAATGAGAGAAGACTGGTACTGGAGCTTGCATCGCAGCATCACACGAGACAACACAGAGAAAATGAAAGTTTCACTTGCAATAGATACAGTTCATTAAACTCTCTTCTGGGTATATGTATACACAAACACGCACAGTTGGCTTTCATTGTACACATGCTAATTAGAGAATTAGAATGGCTTTTTCCAAATGTAGTGCAATTTATTAAAGCTACTTCTCTTAATGTAGCCTGCCTGCAAAAATCAGGTACTTAGGACTTGGTTCCGATTTCGCGGACATAACTGCAACTCCCGCTGAGGTTAGGCTGTGAACAGAGGGGAGAATTTGCTTCTATTTCTTTTTAACATGATTTAGTCTGCTAAGTAGGAAGTCCCATGTTTCCAACGATTTTGTCTGTCCTGACCAAGATTTTCAAAACAGATGTGCTTAGCAGAACATGCCCATTGCATTTAGCCAAAAAGTGGTTTTATGCTTCATAGACATACCTGATGGACCTGGCTGGCCTTTCTAGATGCAGTTTAGTCTCAGGCTGGTTTGTAGTCTCTCTCCTCTCTGCAGTCCATTGCATTCAACTGTGCATCAGATCTGCTCTAATTCCCATGTACACTGTTTCACAAACTTCTAGATTAAAAATAGCAATAATAATAATAGCCAGAAGATTTAGAACTAAATATAGGAGATTGGAGAGGATGTCAGAGTAAGAAGTCAGCCTGTGTAGATCGTTGTAATCAGGAAAAATGTTTACGTGTACGAAATTATTTGCAGCATAAACCGTCCTGGTAACTGCTGGAAATCCCTAACTCAGACAGGCCTTTTTATCACCCAGTGCAGCTATTATGCTTGCACTCCTAAACTATTCTTTATTTTATTCAAGAATCAATTCCCTGACTCTTCAGAGCACTTCAAAAATATGGGTAAATAGTTTTCTTCTTTCCTGAGCAGTTACATGAACATAGATGCATAACGTAGTAATTGCAATAATTATTTTTGATCTCGGAATTACCATTACTTGTCCAGATAGCTAAGCATAGATTATTTTTTTATTTTAACCGTGCTTCCCTGCCCCCGTCATCAGCCTCTGAGGTCCTCCAGCTCTCCCCTTCCTCCCTCGTGGTTCGGCTCCTCTTCCAGGGCTCCAGCAGCAGGACTCTCCTGATTTTTCCCATTTGGCTTGGTGCATCTCTGAGCCGAAGCATTGCAAGGTGCCATGCAGAGAAGACCAGCAGCTGCTAACACTGATGTGTCCTTTGCTTTGCCCCCCAATTCCACAGCCAGATGTGAGCAAGTCGCCTTGAATGCTCTGCCTGCATCTCTGCCTGTCTCTCATGAGGGCTGCACCAGCCAAAAACAGAACGCCCTGGATCATGAGAGATGGTAGTGCTGCCTATGTTTCTTTACGTTCAGGAACAGGCAGAGAGGTCAGCCCTTCAGGTGAGACCTCTGAAAGCATTTTCTGCTTTTCCAGCTTGCAAATCACAGTTTAATCTCTTACCCCTTTGCCACTAACAGGTGCGCAGTCCTGCCACATAGGACATTTAGCTAGCGTGATTTGTACCCTGCAAAACTATTTGCTTACTTAGCTGCAGAGTTTTGCCAAAACAAAAAACTAAAGTTGTCTGACTCTTTTTCAAATACATGCAAACTTTCCAAATCTTATGCAGGGTGCTTGTAAGAGCATCATGGGAAAGCTGATTCAGATGAAAGAAGACTTCTTCATGTCAGGTAGGGCTATTCTAGGTCCTTCTCTGAAATAGTGTCACTCCCTTTGAGAGCTAAGTTATGCAGAATACGGACTGTGTTGTGGCAAGTGAATTTGAGATAGTTCATCAAAACAGCAAATCCAGAAAAACCAAGTGCCAGCTGTAATTAGTGCAAGTATATTATGTATGCACAGAACAAAGTGAATAATTATGGTCAAAGCTCTGCATAGAGCCAACTCAGGTACCTGTGTGCTATATGCTTGGAGCTGGAAGTGCCAGAAAATGAAATGTAGATGCACATAAGAAGCTCTAGGTGGAGTCGGCTGAATGCAGCTAACTCGTATTAATTGGGAAGGAAAAGAGGAACAAGAGGAAGGGGGACGCGGTAGAGCTGGGGTGAAAAGCTAGGACCACTAGGCCAAGACTGCTGAAAGCTTTCTCCAGTGATGGTTGGCTACAGACAGGTTATGAAGTACTGATACATTCACAGAAAGTCTACTGTTTTTTTTTTTTTTTTTCCTTCTAATCTTTGGTTTAATAATCCAAGCTCCCAAGGAATTGCTCTCCCTCCATATCCGGAAAATGAAGCAGTCCATGACTTCAGGCACTGAAGGTAGCTAACTGTTAATTTAGGCAAATATAGTTAGTCACGCAGATAAATCACTCTCTCTGAGAAAGAGAGAAAGCCATTTTCTGTTCTTATTAGAAGGTACCCTCAAAAAGAGAAGCTGGAAATGCAGACATCCCTGTAACCTGGGCGATGTCCTCCGAGGAATGTGTTACACTCCCCCGTGAACTCTTGTTTTCCCACATTTGTTCGTTATGGATGAAGCATGTTGTGGGTGATGGACACCTGTGCCCAACTGAATGCGGAGGCATGGGTCCCAGCATATTTGATGGCTCTAACAGTACGTTGAAGCCACAACACTGAGCTGTTAGTGGTAGAAAGGGTCTGTGATTCCTTTTTCATGTCCTGTGGAAACTGGCTTACCATGACAGCTGCCCTTATTCTCCAAATCAGTCTTCCTGAATTGCTCACCCGTACAAGTATGTCTCCTCATTGTACGTGTAGCCTGAGCTTACCTTATACCAGGTACAAGGAGGTCAAGAACAATATTGTGCTGTGTTACAGTCATAGCTTAATACCCTTTTTCACGTGTGTCTGGGTTATGTCACATGAGTTTTTATGTTGCAGCATTTTTTGATCCTTTAACAGTCAATACCAGGAGAATTTACCTGTTTAGGGAAGGGTTGTGAGAAGGATGTTGTTGAGGCTTTTAGCACTGAAGAGAATTTTTCCTATGTCCATTCTGCAAAATGTGTTGATTTCTCCTACTTTGAACAGCAGCCTGCCTTTTGGCTTCTGCTTCCCTTCCCCCATTGACATGATTTGTACATTTATTTTTTTGTAATAATATTTTTTTTTCCTTTTTCTGCAATTGAGAGAGGACTCAGCTCTGCACTTCTACGATGTGTGAAAATGAGCCTCCTTTTCTTGTAGAAGTGATGTGGCAGCAGTCAGTACTCTCTGTTATAACTCTCTCCCATTTCCCTGAAAAAAACAGACATCCTGACACAGCAAGATCGCTATAAGAGAACCCACAAGGACACAAACACTTCTGTATTCAAATCCTGGTTAAAGTGGTGCACAGCAGAGAATTCCTATGGCCGTAATTTGGGTGTCACATGTGAGCAGTAACAGTGAATAGTTCCCCTCAAAGTGGTCACTGTCTGCAGAACACTGATGAAATGCATGCTTTTCAATGTATAATACTCTAATGATTTTATTAGGGCTGTGCAGTAAAGCTGATTACAGGACAGTACTAAAAAGGAATTTCAGAGTATTTTCGGAACAGGAAGCCCAGCTAGAGATCTGAGCAGCTCAGGGACGAATCGAAGGCAATCGTCCTAACAGAAGCAAAAAGTGCAGCTTTTGGATCGGTGCTTGCGTATGGCTTTTGGCCAAACAGAAACCTCACAAGGGACCTTTTTTCCCTGGGGTTGCAAACTGTGCCAAAATACATGGATGGTTTGGCTAATCTTTCCTGTGATTAAAAAAGCCTCTATCTTCCTCACCCTTCCCCAAGAAATTTGCCGTGTCACCAGAAGAATTTCGTTGTGTGAGTAAAACCACTTCATCAATTTAGTTTGCAGTCACCACAGCCCTGACTCAAGTGAGACCTATGGTAAATCCCGCCAATGAGACATATGCGGGGTGCCCAATTTGGGGTGCTCTCAGGAGGAGAAGCATCTCTGTTCCAGCCTGAAACCTGTCTGAACAACAAGAGTCAATTAAAGAATGACAATGAGTCTACTTAGGCTCATCCCTTACCTGGTAGTCTGCTGGACTTGTAGAAGTGCTTTTGAAACGCCTTGGTGTTCAGGGTGTATATGTTGAGTCTAAGATAGATTGGATCCAGCTGTGGCTCTTTCTTGACAAAGGCCATTTGTGGCACCTTCATATCCATATCCATATAAGGCACCTACAGGTGTCCATGTGAGCCCGGTCAGTGGTGTCTACTGAGCTTTAGCTCACCTTAAAGTAGATATCTGGTCCACTGGCAGACTCTTGAGGCAATTGAGATATGCTAGGGTAGGAGACACATATGTAGGGCCAGTTCTGCACAGGAGTTGGACTGTCTATTCACTTCGGAAATAATAGCTGTAGGCCTGGAGGGACCCTGGGACATCTCAAGGACATCTGGCTGCCCACCTCAATTAAATGAGATCATTTCTACTGCTATTTCTGCAACCCTCAGGGCTACTGATTAAAGAAGTTCAGATTCTTCCCACTGAAATGATATTAAAGCAAGAACCATAGTAACCCTTGGCTTTCTCTTGAGTTGTGGTGTGACTCTTACCTTAGCTGGACTGCAATGCCCTGTGGGGATGTCCAGCTTTCTGTACGTGTGCTCCAGGGAGGCCGA